TACCGAGGCACATGCTCGGAAAGACTTTGTGATTGGCAATAGAAATAATTATGCATCGGCATTTTACATATACATATATAAAAAGATATAAACTGTATACATGATAAGTTTATCGAGTCGAGTTCCACTTATTTACTTATTTAATCAACATCGTAACCATACTTTAGTGTTTGCGATAATCATTGTCTGTCACCTTCTCTGACAGGATTTGTCCGTTGGATTTGCTCACATTACCTTTGATGCTGACACTGTCACATTCTTTTTATGGTAATGTAGGATCATCGATCTGCGCAATCGGGAACTGATGACATGTGTCAACCAAGTCAGCGAGCCTGACCACCCGATCCCGTTGGTCGCCTCTTACGACAAGCGTTGAGTTACTGAAGTTCAATATTCTTACCCGGACCTTCACGGGTGGACAATGCACAGCTGCCAGTGAGTATCCTGATGAATCGACACAAGATCTGAAAGATATCATGGGAAGTTGTTCTATTCAGACATGTTTTGGCGATCGGTCAAATGTTCTTTCTCACGGAGAAGTTTTGTTAGATCTTTGCACGACCAAGGCTGGATACCCATGTTTATACCCAGAAGAGGTGAAAACAGTGAACAAATGGTGTTTTGACACTCGCGAACTGTTTCCATAACCAGTTTCGAACACTATAAGGTCTCGGGGCCGTATTAGATTGAGACTCTCTTTCTCAATCCTGTTTTTTTGCAGGCAATCAGGTGTAATGAAACACTGGTGACCGTATATTTATGTCCATTATTAATGCAATCTTCTACCCAAGATTCCTTACGTCGTGATTGCTCACAATTAAAGATTAACAGATTCCAATAAAAAATGAAAATATACACATAACGAACGCTGCTTTTATTTAATGTAAGAGTCCTAAAGAGGTCAATTTTTGTCTACACTACATGAAATAGTGCATTTCCTTGTATCCCTTCAGGGTTGAAATACATTTGGAATTGTTGAATGCTATGCCACTAACCTTTGGAAAATCATAATGGTATGTGTGACGATGTCTTTACGAGCCAATGTTTGGAATGTGAGGTCATAACGTGTTGATAATGGTGATTGTACATAACGGTATAAATGCATTTTAGGTGTATAGTTTACATTAATGGAAATATACACGACTATGCCCCACATGTTTCAAATAATGTTTGAAAGTGATACAAATGACAGGATTCTTTGCACATATTCCAATCATGACGAAATGCTTAAATATCTTAAGTTCAAGACGTTTGAAACGTATTAGGCGTACCTTCATATTATTGACAATAATTCTGTACATTGTCGCCTGATACCAACCTCCAGTGCTGAATGAATTTCTCATTACACAAGTGATGAGTCAGGACTTGGACAGGGGGCAATTATAGTAATTTTAGGGTACTAATGAGTTAGAGTTACTAATGAACAACATCTTTATCAGAATCTGACGTATCTACCAATTAAATGTCTTTCGATATTTGGGAAAGATCAACGTTGTTTACCTCTGCTAATAGTTTAATTACATTAGCAGTGATTGCATTTTTTTAAATGATCAGATTATCAAATTAAGGATCAGTACTTGAAGCTGATATATTGCAATCTGACATTGAATACATGTTGCAGGCTCAAAATATCCCTTTACTCTTCTCAATATTATACTTTTAGCTGGGAACAGTGAAAGTTTTGCGACAAAAACTAATGATTCCGACCATACCACATAGAACGCATTAAAATATAATATGCCTTGTAGAAACTTTCACTGACAAGTAGTCATACCTCAGCTCTCTGCCAATGATATGTTTATAGTGTGAGGTTAATTTGAGCTGTTTGAAAATGTCGACCCTATGTGTCAGGGAAGACGTTTCGTTTGAGAACAGATCATAAACCTCTGACATACATTTTGACATCAAAATCAGAGAAATTCGCCAGATGGAGTTTAGAACTTTCTGAGTAATCATTTGACATTGATTACATTCCATGGAATGAAACCATTTCAAGTGATGTTTTAAGTCGTATGCCTATTGAAGACACCAATCAACTGCCAGTATTAACTGTGACTAGAGGTCAAGACAAACGACGTGATATTATTCTAAAAGCTCGGGAACTGGGTCACTCTGGTGTAAAACGAACATGGCAATTAGCACAAAAAGTTGATTCTTCAATTACACAACGTGAGGTAGCTGAAATAGTGGAGAAATGTACTATGTGTATAGAGGGTCCACATGCTATAGCAAGGTCTCCGTTAGGTGTTACTGTTATTGCTTCGCGTCCTTGGGAGGTTCTTCATTGTGATTTTGTTGGCCCACTTCCACGTTCGTCTTATGGTTATCTGTATGTGTTTACATGTTTAGATGATTTGAGTAGGATAATTTTCGCCTTTCCAGTTTGTATGGCGACGCCATCTAGTGCTACAACAGTGCTGGAACGTCTGTTTTCCATATTTGGTCCACCCAGTGTTTTACATAATGGTACTGTCTTTACATCAAAAGAGCGCTGTGTGTTGATCCAAGTGGGGAAGTAGATGTACCTAGTTATACTCCAGTTGCTAGACCACAGGCTAATCCAGCTGAAAGAGCTCACAGAACATTAAAAACATCTTTAGTGAAAACAGCAGAGTGTGACAAAACGTGGGACAGAGTTTTGCCTGAAACTGTGTTAATACATAATTCGTTATTTAATCGCACAATGGGTTTCGCTCCCTATTTTGTTATGTTTGGTCGTAACAGTTTGATTCATCAGTTAGTGTCAGGCTATGTTTCCTCTGTGGTGGAGGAGATGGATAGCTGTGTAGAGGTTTGGGATATGTGTGTCGAATCCCATACGTCAGCTAAATTACATCGTCAGGAGCAGACGTCACAAAGAGTGTCCAGGATGTTTAATGTTGGTGATCGTGTTGCAGTCAAAATATTACGAGGACACAAGTTCAAGAAACAACATTTCAAGTCAGGATTTGTGGTATCCAAGTGTTATGGTGAGTTCCTAAAAGTCATTTCATCTGATCGTTCGAGAGAAACAGTCGTCGTAAGTGTTGATCAAGTCGTGCCAGACTTTTTTTGTGAGGTTATTCCCGGTATTGGACAGCATCGCCCAAACGCAACGATCATCAATAGCATGTTCCTGCACGTGGACTCATCAACTGTGACGCGTGATTGTGCGTCGATTGTAATCAGTCTTGTCTTTGTCTTCGTCGAGTAATCGTCTTGTGCTTGTATATCTGTGCTGAATGTTATGTGGGCCTGAAGACCTTACCATTGCCAATAGTCATAAAATTAGGCTTGCTGAAATTGGTAGACTATCCGTTGGAGTAACGTGTTGCTGAAAAACACAACTAACCATAACTACCTACCGCCTGCATATAACAACTCATATAGATAACGTATTTTTGTAAGATTGTACAAGCATAGATATTTTACTGTTTGAAATGTATGCCGCGCCTGTGAACTCAACATTCTATGTTACAAGACATAGTGGTAAGACAACAGCCATAGAGAAAGTTGACCAGTGGCTGAGTGAGTGAGTGAGTTTAGTTTTACGCCACACCCAGCAATATTCCAGCTATATGGCGGCGGTATGTAAATAATCGAGTGTGGACCAGACAATCCAGTGATCAACATCATGAGCATCAATCTACGCCTGACCACCCGAACCCGTTAGTCGCCTCTTACGACAAGCATGGGTTACTGAAGACCAATTCTAACCCAGATCTTCACGGGTCTAATTTTGAATATATTTAACCCTTATCCCACCAAGCTTTCTTCATATCCATTACCGCCAAGTGGGCCTGTGAGGCCCGGTCACCCCCTTTTGATTTATATCAAAGGACCTGACAGGATATTACGTTCTTCTTCACTATTAGAACAGTCACTGCTGTCACCAACACTTTCTTCAAAGGGAGGTTCGAACTCAGAATCTGATCCACTGTCAGAAGGTACTGCATCAGCACCACTACCATCATCATCTGCAGCAGCAAGCTGGAGCAAAACATCGCGAAATTGCTTCTCAAACTTCCTTAAGTGGCATTTAGAAGCTGGTATGATGAAGAGAAACACAACTTCTTTATTGCAGTGGATGTGACGTTTCGGTGTAGATCCTAGCACCGTTATCTAGCAAATGATACACAGCATCTGCACAAGGAGAAATATATACATGACGGGTATTTGGGTTTATACAACAGAAGAGGTTGATGTGTGTTGACATGAGGCTTGTTGTGATAAGAAAAGATTGAAGCCAGTAGACAAATGGTGGGTTATTCTTGATTAGTTCATCGTAAGCTGAAGGGATGTAATAACGTTGATCTCTGTTGAGTGTCGGGTTGAGCCGTTTGATGTTGATTGCCTCTAAGAGTTCTCTTATCCCATGGCCTACCTATGGGATCACATCTCTTCCCCATCATCAGCGAGATCTACATGACAGAACTCGAAGACAAGGCCCTCCTCACCTGACCCGTCACACCAATATGCTGTTTCCGGAAAGTAGACGACACAGAAAGACCCCACCACCTTGCTTCAACGAGACCACAAAACCCTCCTGTAAGAACTTAGGGACAAAACGAGATAGGTCTGACTCTACACAAGCAGCTCACAGTTCCCCATCCTAGACCACCCTACGCCCGAGCCACCATCAAGGTCCACAAAGACCCCATCAAAGCCCGTTTCCTAGTCTGTTCCAAAAACACGGTCCATTACAATACCACCAAGCATCTCGACCGCCTTCTCGCCCCTCTAGGTAAATTAGCTAAATCCTTTATTTCGGACTCCAACGAATTCTGCAACAAGATCAGCACCATCACCCAGCCAGGCAAAATAATGAGTTATGATGTGGTTGATCTATTCACCAATAGACGTAGCCCTAGCCATCATTAGAAGAAAAGTTGAAGACATCCGCGCTAAACCTAAACACCCATCTCACAGTAGAAAGCATCATCCGCCTCATCCATTCCTGTATAAGTTCAACATACTTCACCCGATCTGATAAAATCTACCAACAAACCCATTGTCTACCTATGGGATCACCTCTCTCCCCCATCATCACCAAGATCTACATGACAGAACCCGAAGACAAGACCCTCCTCAACTTACCCGTCACACCAATATGCTGGTTCCGGAAAGAAGACGACACATTTGTCATAATCAACCCCACCGATGATCCCATCTGCCTTCTCAAACACCTTAATGCCCAACATCTACGCATGAAATTCGACGTCCAAGGAGAAAAAGACAACAACAAACTCCAAACAAGTGTGTACAGGAAACCAACCCGCACAGACCAATATCTTCACTTCTCATCTAATCACCCACTGCAAGTCAAGAGAGGTATAATCGCCACCCTAGCCAGAAGAGCAAAGAACATCAGCTCCACAAACCAAGGCCTTGAAGTCGAGTTAGAACACCTTCGCCATGTCTTCATAAACCTTAATCAGTACCCAGCTAATCTAGTCAACAGAACCATCAAGACCACCCTCAACCCAAAAGACAAACCACCACGTCAACAATCATCCCCGTTCATCACCAGTTTACCATATGTGGATACAACCAGCCACCATATCTGCAGATTACTAATGAAGCAAGCCAACATAGATGCTGTGTTCCAGAGAGGCCCTTCAGACGTTGTCTACTACATTCAATGCAAATGTGGGGACTCGTACATACAAACCCAAATACCCTTCATGTATATATTTCTCCTTGTTCATATGTTGTGTATCATTTGCCTGATAACGGGGTTAGGGTCTACACAGAAACGTCGCATCCACTGCAGTAAAGAGTTTGTCTATTTATAAAAAAGTGTTCCTCTTCTCAAACCTATTCGACGATTCATCTTTGACAGGCAGTTACTATGCAATGCATTCATAAGGAATCTTATTCAAGTGGCGTTGACTGGAAGCTGACGGGGGTGATCGGGCCACAGAGGCCCTGCAAAGCAGTTAATGCAATAATATTTGCTTTTTAAAATTAATGGTAATTATTTCAAAATAATTAAATTGAAACTTTTTCAGGAATACATTGAATACTGAACATTTATATAAAGAAATGATGTTTTGGCATACCATCAAAGTGTACTTCGGGCCTCAAATGACCCACGTGGTGGGATAAGGGTTAAAGGTAGATCACTTGGTGATATGGAAGGGGAAGAATCACAACAATAATGCTTTGTAGTTATTCTGATTCTGGTTATTTATGTGTCATAAATTTCTTGTTGGCTGTTATTGAGTCTGCGTTTAAACTTTTTTTCGCCTAGCAATAACCCCAGACAGCAAAGCTTAAATGCTGATAACGTAGTACAGATATTTAAATACAGACTTAATACCAAAATGTGTCGTCTGGAAGGACGTCCAGCACGTATGCCGTGTGCGGCCAGAATGTGCGCCGGCGAATGATCTTTGGCACCAGGAGTTGTTCAGGCTGTCAGTGTAGCTGGTTGTAATCTGGTTGGTTCGAATCCAACGATCCTTGTGTGGCGTGGTTACAGGTGGACATCCACTTCGGAGACGGTCTGCAACGACGGCGTTTTGTTGATAACGACTCCACAAGCGACATATGTTGTTCCTGTGCACGTTAAACTGGTGTGCAACGTTGCGCTGGGGTGTTCCGGTTTAAAGCCTTCTAATGGTTCGCCTTCTTTCATTTTCATTTAGCCGTGACATAGAGAAATGCAAGCATATTCTTCCAAATTTGTGTTTTTCGGACCCATCGACGTCTAAACAACGATTTGGGTGACAATGATTCAAGGTTTAGAGCCAGACTTTTAAAGGGCACGTTTTATACCTTTTTTTCACGGTCTTCTTGAAAGCAAGAAAAACGCATGCAAAACAAAAACTACCGACGGATCAAGAGATTCAAGCAGCAGTTAAGCCCTTAAAGAATGCCAAATCTCCTGGATATGACGATATTATCACTGAAATGTTAAAAAGTTCTGAAAGTGTCAGAAACCCAAGCGTGCTTTCGACAGGGATATTCCACATTGCTTAATGTTTTTTTCTTTAAAGTGCAATTGTACAAAAATGCGTATCAAGGACGAAAAAACCGATCTTGCTTTTGTTGATTTTAGAAAGGCATTTAACTCTGTTAGCCGTGTTAAGGTCTGAATTGTTGGTAAGCAGGTGTAAACAGGAAAATATTACAAGTGAAAACGTGTGAGATGCAAAGATAGTGAATGTTGTGAATATATTCCCTGGTGGTTTAAACAAGGTTGTATATTAAGCCCTCTGTTATTCCCATTCATTCTCAATGAATTCTCTCTCTCTATTTTAGATACAATTTAAAAAAGGAGGTTCGCTTATTCGCTGATGTAACTGAGATATTGTTGTATTTTTGTTCAAGTTTACCACTTTTTTACTTGTTTATAGGTACAGTACATGTGGTCAACGTATGACATTGATAGGTACAATTGTGTTGATATACAAGATTACAAAAGCAATCAATGATATTTCTATAAAAAAATCAGCAAATGGCATCAGATACCATGATGCCATATGTATATGTATGGGTATGGGGTGAGGTGAGTTGAAATTGGGTTTAACGTCGTGCTTGAGAATATTTCGCTCATATGACGACGTGCATGCGTGTGTATGTGTATGTGCGGTTGCTTGTACAAGCCCAGACTTAAGCTGGTTTTATGGTGCTAGCTCACCGAGATACCATGCCGCAGTGAAGCATGAATACCCCACTCAGACACATTATACTGACTCCGAGCCGACCAGTCCTTGTTGTACCCATTAATGGCGAGCGCCAGGCAGGGACCAACAAGTACCATATTTTAACGTCTTTTGGTATGACGCGGTCGGGGATCGAACCCGAGACCTTCCGCTCTCCGGGCGGACGCTCTAACCACGGTATGGGTATGTATGTATGTATGTATGTATGTATGTATGTATGTATGTATGTATGTATGTATGTATGTATGTATGTATGTATGTATGTATGTATGTATGTGTGTGTGTGTGTGTGTGTGTGTGTGTGTGTGTGTGTGTGTGTGTGTGTATGTATGTATGTATGTGTGTGTGTGTGTGTATGTATGTACATACGTACGTATGTATATGTATGTACGTATGTGTATGTATGTATGTATGTATGTATGTATGTATGTATGTATGTATGTATGTATGTATGTATGTATGTATGTATGTATGTATGTATGTATGTATGTATGTACGGGTACGTATATGTGTGTATGTATGTAGATACGTATGAATGTACAGGTGGATATGCATTCAATTTGTATCTATATGAAATAAGGATGACAGACAAAATCATTCATCCCTCTCCGTATAGTGCTGGAAAAGTGTATGTAGAGATGACCAAAAGGAGAAAAGTTTGTCAACACCATAAGAGGAAGAATAAACATATCTTGTAATGTCATAATTCTTAATTATCTCCCTTTTCACATGACTGATAAAGGGTACAGTTGAATTTCTGCTGTGTCTAAAGATAACTTGCTTTACAACAAGTGTTATAGCATTAATTGGACTATTATTTTTTCCTCTAATTCCAAGTAAGACATTGTGTTTTGTGAAATATAACGGAATATTCAAGTCAGTTAAAAGGTTTTTCCAGAGATATTGTTGTTGATGTTTGAGGATGATATTATACTTGTATATGATGTGGCATCTCCATGCATGGAGTCTAACTGTAAATCTAGCCAAGACAAATGTTAGAAGGTATTTAGAAGAAGTGGGCGTCTTTGGACAAACGAAAACCTGCTCTATAAAGGTAAAAAGGTCTTAGAATTTGATTCATATAGATATAAGGGAGTAATTTTCACAACTACATGTACAGTTAAACTGAATTAAAGGTATGTTATAAGGAGGCACACCTGCATCAATAGAAAACCATCCGTCATTTGTATAAACTAGGTATTGTTGATCCATCAGAGTTTCTGGAACTAAGATATTCGACACACAAATACAGCCCATTTTATTATATGGTTCTGACTGACTGACTGACTGAGTTTGATTTTACGCCGCTTTTAGCAATATTCCAGCAACATCACGGCGGGGGACACCAGAAATGGGCTTCACACATTGTACCCATGTGGGGATTCGAACCCGGGTCTTCGGCGTGACGAGCCAACGCTTTAACCACTAGGCTACCCCACCGCCCTTATATGGTTCTGAGGTGTGGGGAATAAACTGATATAGAAGACTGAAACTGTTCACCTATCCGCTTGCAATCAATTTCTGAGACACCGATTTTTTTGTATATGGACATGCGGCCGATATCTAATATATATGAATGCAGGTTGTCACTGTGCAAATCTTAAACGAAATGCACAGTAATAGTATCCCACAGAATGGTATGATAAAACATTATGCTTATACATTGTGGATATGAAACCTATGCAACGGCTGTATGTACTATATTGTTCACACATGAATTTGGAATCGTATGGATTGCCCAGTTAAACTGTTTAAGCAAGTTATAGATATATATCGTCAATCTCGAACAGTAAAATAGAAAACAGCTCGAGATACAACATACACTAATGGAAAACGGTAACTGTGCAAAACATAAAATTGCATAAATAGAAGTAATTTGTAAAGTTATATAAAAATAACCCTAAATAAACATGTAGCAAAGCACTTTGCATTATATTTGATGTCATGTATCGCGCGTGACATGTGCGTTTTGTGCATAATGAACTTCCTCACTTTTTGCATGCTTTTTGACACCTGATTTTCACACACCTGTTATTGTACATTGAAGACCGGTTGATTATTCTCTAGCCTCTGAATGTTGGGGAAAACACGTTAATGTCAATATGAACTGCGCGTACGTCAACCCACAAATTACAGAAAATCAACGTCTGAGTGCAGTGCGTATGCACGAGGCTGGAATGGCCCAAAATGAAGTTGCCAGACATTCTGATGTTCATCGAAACACGACCTCATCTCTATGGATCTGTTTTCAACATAATGGGAACATGAGAGATTTGCTCGTACCGGCCGTTCACGTGTGACGTCACGTCAGTAGGACAACCATATTCGGCTCACCAATCTAACGAATCAATTCGGGACTGCCAGTTTGACTTGACATACATGTATGTATGTATGTATGTATGTATGTATGTATGTATGTATGTATGTATGTATGTATGTATGTATGTATGTATGTATGTATGTATGTATGTATGTATGTATGTATGTATGTATGTATGTATACACACATGTGTGTATGTATGTATGTATATATGTGTGTGTGTGTGTGTGTGCGTGCGTGCGTGCGTGCGTGCATGCGTGTGTGTATGTGTGTAATATTATGGAAAATTCTGTATAATAACCATCTTAGATCAGTCCTATATGTGCACTTCCATGGGATAATATTAAATATTTTCCAGTCCTTTGGTGGGAGATTTAGATTCACGCTATCCCAGTTTTATTGTAGTGTTTTGTTTTGTAGTGTTTTATCATAGATATATTTGCTACCTTTTTCACTGAATTTTAGTTTAGACAAATTAAAAGAGTATGTCGGTTTAAAGTAAAATCTCAAATATTTATCTTTAACATGTGTGCAATAATTGCTTGTTTGACCCCTTCAAAGGTCCGGAAATTAGTTCTGCATTTATATAGATTTATTAAAGGATACAAATTTCCTTTCTGTTGTCAACATATCAGATACAAACACAACTCCCGTGTTAT